AAAACATACCTATGAATATAATGTTCAATTTCTGCCAACAGATGCTCCTAAATGTTACACGCTGGATCTTTAATTCTCATAATTGCTATCAGTTAATTTTCTTTTGAACAAGTAATAGATTAATCAACTTATAATTTTAGGTCCAGTCAAGTTTTTATCCCATCAAGCCTTTTGAGAAAAATAGCCAGTGATACTGTCAATAATATATCAGTATCAGTCCTAAATTGCGAAGAGCATTCATTTAGTGCTTACAGTAATTTAACAATTTTTGTTTGATCCAGTGGACAGAAAATATTTGTTGGTTGAAACTTTCAGCCATCTTGTATTTCTGACCACAGGTGACTGATCAGTGGTGCTAAACAAGATATTATTGTTAAGTAGAAACTAATTGTAGTTTGACTGCATTCATCCGTACAGTGACTCACACGCCTAAAGTCTACAGTAAATTTTAAAAGGAAGGGCACCAGACATCAGAAGGTTCAAGGGATGGAATAAATCATAGTACATATCTGAATGGTAACATTAGCCTGCTGTGTATGCTGTCTCTCATGGCAGCATGATTCAGCAAAAAGCCAAACGCCTGAGGACATTTAAATATCTGCTGCTTTATAGCTTTAGAATTTCAAATGGCCTGAGCATAAATGCCAGTATTGCTTCCCTAAATTTCACTGGCTGCCTTCATCCCTTCTTTTGAATATCAGTGGTCAACATAAGGACGCCAGTTTTGTCCACTGATTAACCTCAATTGGCATAAAGTTTATATAGGGGAAAAAATAAAAGTCTGTAAACATAGCTGGGGCTTCTTTACCAAACAGAAAGACCAAGGAGTTACATTTGAATCATTATTTTGTGACAAATTTCAGGCAGCTAATTTTCTCAGAATTGATGTGCAGGGCAGTGGTTTGGATTGAATTCCTTTTCTCTGCACCATTTAGATTCTCCTCATCCAGGAGATAAAGCATCTCAAGTCCAAGGCCATACATCTGTTCGGCAGCAGAGTTGAGCGTGGGTGGGACGGGGGTGCACTGAATCACCACGCATGGTTTCTGTCTGCAGTATTGATTTTGTGTGCGGGTGTGTGTGGTTGTTGCGTGTGTAGTCTACTTCCCCGTGCCTCAGTGTAAGTGTGTGCCTGTTTGTGTGTGTGTGTGCAGGTCAGATTTATGGTGTTGATAGTGGTTGTATATTAGAGTCATGATCAGCTAACTGAGTCCATTCAGTTGCCCTGCTTTACCCCGAGGCCCAAGAAAATGATAGTCAGTGTGTGTGTGTGTGTGTGTGTGTGTGTGTCTGTGTAGTCAGAGCGGATATATTACTCATTATCATTATCAGATCCACGTGTATATAACATCCTGACATTAGTGGTTTATTGTAAGTATTATCTAATAGCCTCCATTCATTCCCTCTTCCCTCTTTTGCTCTATAGAAAAGTTTCCTCCTTCCTCTTTCCTTTGTCCTCCTTTGACCTTCCTTAACCTGTCTTGTTATTAATCAAAAGCACGGTGTTGTCAAAGCAGTGTGACTGATGTGTACACACAGGGTATTCAATAAATGTGCATTAATGAATTAGAAATAATAAGACAATAAGTGAAGCAAACTGAATGTGTAATGTACTACAGAATACTGTAATATTAAACTACTGTATGCACTTCTCTGTCTTTTCTGTCTCTTTTCTTCTTGCTCTCTTTTGCATGATGATCCATGATTTGGGCTAGATTTCTCATTTAAATCATTTTGTTAGTTAGCTGATTAGGAACACGGCATTAAGAACAAGATAAGACGGATGCCCGGTTAGCTCAGTTGGTAGAGCTGGCGACCCATATACGGAGGTGCACAAAAATAACAAGATAAGACAACTGATGAGGAACACTGTATCAATGAACATAAATACAGTTAGTGATTTTCAAAGAGGTAAAGGGGCTGCTAAATACAGCAAAGAGAAAAGACGCTCCATCTGCTGATTACTTGAAGTCTGGACTTTCTTTTTTGTGAAGCTTTAAGGGACACGTGGTGACACTGTGCTTCATTTATTTATTATTGATAGCTTGATATATTGTTATTGTTATTGTTACTGTTACATATTGTTTATTGAGTATTGACGTACAGTACAGCGGGCTGAAATTTCAACAAGATGAAAAATTCTACAGCTATCAGCTCTGTGAGGCTGTACTTAAACACGGGTGCTTTAAGCTAAATGCTGACCCTCTTAGTTTAGCATGTTAGCATTCTAACAGTTGTTAATGCTAACACATTAATTAGCAATAAAT